TTTTTTAACATGTTTAAGTAGGTACTTCATGAATAAATAAAATAAAATTAAATAAAACTATACAAATTAATATGAATTAAAAAAAGTTCAAATACTAAATACATAAAACTTTATACTATGTTATAAATTAATAGGTACTAAATTATAGTATAATATAATACTATTATTAAAATAATTAAAATGATAACATTTTAATAATTAACAAGTAAACAAATTTCTGACCACAACATTTTGGCGCCCCTAAAATACTGGCGCCCGGGACAGTTGTACCCAGCTCCCCTGGTTATAATATATCAGGACGTATCAACAATTTATTTAAAACATTTCTTTTAAAAAAAATTGTCTAGCATTGAAATTTCAATGTATAATACGCTTTATTGTGTTATAAAAAAAATAATCTTTTCACCTGACATGTACTTGTCTAAATTGTTTGTTAATATTCTTGTTTATCTAATAGAACTTTTCGATGAGTACCTATAGTAAGTATTTTTATTCATGTCACTGCATTTTGTATTGTTTTCTATTCTAATGTGGTGTAATAATCAATTACTTGCAGATAGATTATTAATCCACATTCGATACACTTCACGTAATGACTAATAATACTATCTATAATAAAACGACTAAGTTTCTAACAGTTGAGGACAACGCGTGACTGATGTTTGTTAATTCACTCATTCCCTGTTACAATTTACATTCATATTGCATTTGATATAAATTTCAATTAGTTATGATATTACTGGATCAAGAAATAAAATATCGTTTCACCCTAAATCATTTGACTTTCTTGAGATGGTAAAAATTGATGATTTGCACAAACACTTTACCTACTTCTTTACTTCTTTACTTCGAAGTAAGATAAAAGTAATTTCGATTGTTCTGAGTAATCACGCAGCTGGTATTTTGTTATATTTTGTTCCATACAAATTGTGAAGGAGCTAAAAAGTTAAAGATAAGCAACTTTTAACTGAGTTACATAACGTGTTATTTTTTAAAAAAGCAATTCCTAACTTAAAGAGTAGAATTGTTGTCCGTCATATATAGTTAGTAATCAGTTAATTAATTGTAGGTCCACATTGTAGTTAGTTTATCATGACATAAACCACATTGTTTTAAAATATATTTTATATTGTATACATTATTGTTATTACGGGGAAAACAATAATCAGAAATTGGTAAGTATTATTTATAATGATATATGCCGAATTGTAAATGGTAAATTGTAGACTATGTGTTCGAAAGCACTATATTTCTGTATTTCGATCGGAATCAAAGTAATGTATAAAAATACAACTATATAAATTGTCATCCAATTCCTACACTGTGGCACTTACTTTAAGTGCTAAATTTTGGTATAAATACAGTTCTGACGGGACGCATGGCGTGGACGTGCTCTCCTGAGTATAATAGTGGTGTGGCGTGCTACTCCATTTGCCCGGACAACAATGCTCAAGTAAGTGAGTCGTGCAGTGTGGGAATCATTGACAGCCCTGAAAATGACTGTTATCTAGTACCTATCCGTAACGTGGAACGTGATTGGCCCAAAGGTCTCGAAAAAAACCGTACCGTTCATTGAGACGACCGGTGATTGGTCGATATATTGGCCTTCACAACTGTTGCACTCCTCGTCTGTCAGCGGGATTACCGGCGGCGCGTCGGGTTCGCAGTCATCACAATTATTGTGTGCTCAAGACTCTGGCCGGAGGATTTGCTGCTGCTGATCGTATGGCCGTAATAATTCCTGGTAGCATTTTGAGTGCATGTCGGGTACTTTCTGGTCGATGGTATTTCTTGGATTCTAGATTTTCCGAGTCGTACAAATCTATAGAATGCACTTTAGAAGTATTGCAATATTAGTTTAGGACATTAACATCAAAGTTAATGTACAATTATGCAAAGCTGTATTGAGTAGTGAGTTTTTAATTAGTATGACCACAGCCTATGGCTCTCTGTTGTTTTGTCCTGCACATTGCCTTTATGTAAAATATTTCAATTTATCAATAATTACTTTAAGGAGGCTGTGTCGACGCTGTAGCTATTCTAGAACTAATCAACTTAAGATATAACATGGGACAAACTTTTTAGAGTATTTTTGAAACAGTGAAGAAACTGTTGAAGTCTGTAGTGGATAACTTAGAATTCATAAAAAAAACCAAGAATTGATAGTTAATATCCAAAAAGCCTGTAATAATGTAATTATATCCAGACAACTTAAAAAACGAACGGCGTCTAACGTCCAAGTACAGTTATTTGTCTAATTATGTTTTAAAAAAAAATTGGCTCCTTCTATGCATGTATCTGATAGTTATTATGTTTATCTGAATCCTTGCCTACACTTTTACAAAAGCCCCAAAATACCAATTCAAATCCCGAATATATATATTTAATAATTATGATAAAATGTTCCCCGTAGAAATGTCTAGACACTTTTTATCTACTCATGTTATGTATGTTCGTAGTGTGTTTTTTTTATTTATAATTTATGTTATAATCATGAATACAAATAATATAGGTACCCACTCCACAGCTTTTTGATTTAAGAAAATTAATTATATTGTAATGATTAGGATGTAATTATTTTTTAAATGTTTTCTGATTATTATTAATTTCAATAAAAATAAAACGTTTTAAATGCTAAAGCTGAAGACTAGATTTAAACTAAAAAAAAATATATTAATGATGAAAAAAAACTTTTAAAAACATTCAATCGAAACTTTTAGAACATTTAAAATAATGTAATACCTAGCTATTTATAAATTATTCGACTATTATATAATGGGGTCTTTCAAATTTTGTTGAAAAATATATATTATGTACATACCTATAATATATTGCTGAGTGAACGATTGGTCAGTTTATTAAGCAGAACATCATTTTCTTAACTTAACTATACTGTTATAATAACAATACCTTAAATAATTCAAACATAATACTTGATTTACAAACAAAAATTAAAGTAACATTTTGATCTAGGGATCAAAATATTTGAGGGGTAGATTGATTCCAGGCCCCAAGGACAACACCCAGGGGCGTCACCGTTCTCGGCCAATATGTACCCTTCCCATTTCGGCCAGTGTCACTTTTCGGCCAAAGCTTACTGTTCCCTTTTCGGCCAGTACCTTCAGTTTTCTTTTAAATTTACAATTATAACAACCGTCCTTATTAATGAAATTCAAAAATATATTACATACAGGGCGATTCTTTTATCAAACAACACTTTCAATACTTTTCAAATGATGAGTGTTGTTTGATAAAAGAATCACCCTGTATACATAAAAATTAAAAGTATCAACATTTTAAAAACCCTCGTGATGCAAAAACTGTGTAACGGCAAAGAATAAATGAAGCTTGCATTGAAGACTACAAAAATGCTAAAATATCTCGTTATAAATTTGTCATACAATAATATCATACAATTAGAAAAAATAAAACTTAATCTCAATTTTTGACATATTCATGAATGCATATTTTATTATCATAATTATTATTATATGTAGGTATTATAAGACTATATTAATTTTTATTTGATTAATGTAATGTGTTATAACAGTTTATTGCCAATTGTTTTATTTTATTATTTTTTCATACAGTTGTAGGTAGGTAATAATGATAATAAAAATCTAATACTTTTTTAGTAGCGGATACTTATAGTCAAACATTTTCAATTTGGCGTCTTTGGAGTACTAACGGACCTGATAAAACTAAATGTCTGTAATGTCACTATAGATGCAAATAGTAATCCCTGCAATGATACACAATTGTCAATAATATAATAACTACAACAGTCTATAGACTAATAGACTGTCTTTATTGTTTCACAATAGTCGACAAAACCAAAAACAAAACCATTATAATATATTATAATTTATAAAAATATAACGACTATTTAATTGCGCATTGACGGTCACCGTCTTGATTCCGACAATAATAACAACAACAATACCAACGATGACACGACCACTACATTGTACATTAAAAATAGATCACGACAAGGTGAACGTCCTCTTACGTCAACATTTCTCCACAATCAGTGACGGTCTGCGACGTCTGTTGAAGTAAAACTTTGTCATACTTACGTGACTTCGTCTTAAAAAGGTACTTGGATTTCACAAACCCGTATAATATTTTAGGCACACAAAATTGTGCGCGAATGCAAAATATTCTAATAAAAACCGTCGTGGAGTCGTGTATAAAAGACTTCGGATGTCGCCCGTGAATAGTGTATGATATACCTACCAATATAAATATTTGACTGAAGTGCGTCTTATCTTGACGCACAGCCCTTGGCACGTAATCCTCGGAAAATGAACGATGTGAACCGAAAATAATGAAGCCCGCAAATATATATAAATATAATGTTATGTATGTTATACGTGACGCCGGAATTTCTCGCGTCGCACTTCACACTACATAGGAAGAACGGAGAAAACAGACGCCCAGAATGACCGCTACTTAGACTATACAACATTACAACTATATCATAATATATAGTTACCCGTTTTGGAGTATATATTAGGCCAGCAGCGTTTGTACCACGGTATTGACGGAAACTTTTCGGGTTCGTGAACGAGTCCACCGACGTACATAGAGGAGTCCTAAATGACCTAAACCCGCGTCTGTAACAATTTGACGAACGTGATATAAGCCATTATGCCTCGACGACCGCAGTCAGTATTAAAGGTTCACTCTCCACCGCGATAACATATAATATAGTTATTTCCGATATAATTGGCCAAATATTGAGGTTAGTAGGTGATATGTAAGAGTATAGGTAGATCGAATAAAGCATAAATTAAAATCCAAACCTACTCTTAAGCCAGACTTATCATACAATTTCTGATATCAGTTCACCACATAAAAATATTATCATAAACAATTTTTGTGAGACATCACTTCACATGTTGGACTGTGAAGTCGCATTAATATGATTACTCACTCGTCACCAACCGCTATATTATCGATCATTCTTAGGAAAACGGTCGTGCATGATGGCATATTTTTTATCGGGCATCCACCGTGAGATTGTCTGGTTTTAGATCTAGTGAAACCGTAGCCAAGCGTACAAGGTGTGCTGTATAGATCGAGTCTGTATAGGTGGCGAAAACTGGAACGTCCCCCATCGCAGGAGTCAGCAGGAAAATATCATAATACTTGACGACGGAACATACCCCAACCCAATATCCGTGTTTGTCCGTACACCTTAAACACGGAGAAGTCACAGAGCAGTCCAGAAGATTTTCGCGGCCCAGGGCCCATACGAATTTCGAGGAATAAAAATGTTTAGGAGATGTGTATTTATCTGCAGTGGCTCTAAATTTCCAACAAAGACCCTCAAAGTACTTTACACCTTTAACTATAGTGAACACTCGTGACCAGAGGTAAAGGCCTCGATCGCTCCTGGGGTGGCTTGTCGTATCGTCATTATTCTGGTAAGGTGTCAAAATTAAACTGAAATATGGAGGTCTACCCGTGCAGAGTGGTCGCATTTCAGGTTGCCGACCATGGACTAATATTGTGAAAATACGATTTCATTCCGAAGGTCGAGCGTTCCAGTGTTATTCTCGGAGTGGCATATTCCCAGGACCTGTGATAAGTGTTTGTGTATTGCGTCTGGTCGGCTTGTCGTCTTTCTATAATCTATATACCCCAAGTTGAAAGATCAAGGAAGGCCACCTACCAGTGGTCGTATAACCAGTAACTGGTAAATCGGGAAAGAATATAGCACCAATCACGCTCGCGAATTCGAGCAAAATAATATTCGGCTTCTGTACTTGACTTCGTGTAAAGTGGTTGGATTGGACTATCGATCAGACGGATAGTTTAATTATGAGTAGTAGCGAGTTTGCACGACTATATAGAACCGGCTGCCCTCGGATGCAACAGTACGCTGTGTAACCACTGTGGTACTCGTGGTCCCCCGATGTGTGGTCGATGATCGTTTGTTGGTTTCACCTTACAGGGAACGATCACAGCGTTGGTCGTAAGCATCCGTGGCACTTGACTATAGCTCACAGAGCTAATTGGAAGAACGCCCGCGATTGTAGGCTTCGACCATTAAAACACGGGAAATATCGTTGTCACGATCGATTCGAAACAGCGTCGTCGGCTTTGAGTGCATAATAGAGAGTCAAAGCTGTTATATTGTAGCCGCCATCGGTATGTGGTTGATTAGGACGTGAATTTGCGTTTAGAAGACAAAACGTTGTCTAAGCAGCTCATATAAACCATGTAAAAACATATACTTTCTTATTACGCGGGTCTTTTCTGTACTTTCTACTTCTCGTCGTATGATTACCATAGATAAGGGTATCCACCCTGCAGTCTGCGAACGCATGATTATCCTTTTATGCTTGGCTTAGAGTTATTTCCAATATAAGTAACCTTCCATAAAAATTATAGAAATGTACATATTCGTTATAATTATATTAATTGATTAATAATTTTATGGAATATAAAAATATTATAATTACGCCTTAGCTATAAGTTTTTTTTTATTAATATTATACACCAACTCGATTGTAAAAAGAGACTTTCATATTAAATATTTTAATAGTAATACATATAGGTACTAATAAAAATATTTTATGTTATCTGATGTTTAAAATATTTTTAACATAGGTAATAACATTGGTATTAACTATAGTGTACATTTTGAATAAGTTTAAATTATTATGATATATATTAATATTAATAATATATATAATATAATATATGTAATATACATATTATATTATATCCGTGTCCTTATAATAATTTATATAATAGATTAGGCTATTTTTATTTAGCACGTTTCTGATGATACTAAGTATAAAATTATACAGTGTGGTCAACAATAACTAATCAGCATAATAGGAATGGAAATATCTAAAATTTAGAATATTAACCAGAACAGTGGTTGTCAAACTTTTACGACCCTTAAAAAATAGTTCGTGTTTCATGGAACCCAAACCCAACTAGACCTACATTTTTCCACGGTTAACTGCAAGTACATAATATATAATAGTCAGGAAAATTAGTTGGATTCCGAATAAATATTGATCATGTGATCATTATTTGATTTTTTGGTGCGTTACAATGCATAATATGTGTGTATGTGTTATGGTTTTACATTTTAATATCCAACTGTTTGTATATAATAATATTACGTTTGACTCGAAGCCACTACCTACAGTTTAAAATATGGAATAGACATATATTTTTAGGAACAAGTATCATCCCTCCGTCCTCATATAGTCATACGCAGACGCAGTTGGGGTAGTTATGCCAATAATACCTACTATATAATATTATTATTGTTATTGTTTATTTATTATTATTATTATTATTATGCGTGAACTCGACTCTCGAGCGTTTGCCGAGTACAACGACCTATAACGACTAAATACCTTGACACGCCAGCCAGTCGCCGTCAACGCAATACAATCTCAACCGTTTGTGCGTGCAGCAGTGTCAGTGGCGACGGCCGTTTGACACTGTCTGTCTGCGCTGGGAATTAGTGAAATCGCCGAGCGTAATGTACACGACCAGCTGCCGCCGTCACCCGTTCGTCTTAATCGCTGCTCTATAGCCGAGAGAGAGAGAGAGAGAGAGAGAGAGAGAGAGAGAGATATTCGTACTCGGTTGGGGACACTTCCCATCTCCCAGTGCGGTTCATTTTGGTAGAATATAATATTATTGACTGTATACCTTTTTAGTGAGTTCAATATATTTTGTTACAACATAACAAACAGTATCACGACTGCCGATGATAAAAGAAAATAATAAAATTTCGTAAAATGAATATAAATCGTACCTGCTAATGCGTCATGCGCGAGTCATACTACACAGGTTACAGGTATATATTATTGTTTCAATATTAAACATCGTCGATGACAGATTTTAAATTTTGAACTATGGCGTCGGCAACGTGCTTACGACAGATAAAAAAACGTCAACTACCGATTTATCGTACCGTCTACTATTTGCTTATTTGGTATGGGTACTGAAAGTTTTGTTGTGAAAAAAAGAAATCTGTGGTATGGTCTTCACGACGATGTTTCACCTTAAGTGAAAGTTTACCAATGTCCTAATATTTTATGATATGCTGGAGCGAGGAAGACCACTATAGCTATAGAGTACCATATATATATTACAATTTAATAGGTCTCCGCGGTAGTAAAAATAACGTTCATAGGTATTGTAAATTGGTCAGGTAAATACGTGTATGTCACTGATATGTTTACCTATGTACCTACTTCATAGACAATCGACGGCTATTATTGCTCGTAATTTTAGTAGCGGACTTCCATTATCTTCAGGGAACCCGCTCTTGTGGAGGTCTCATATATAAACGTAAGCAGTAGGATATAGTTTTTATACATTGGTATGTAATTGAGGGTTTGAAAATTCCAGGGAGAAATATTTTTTTTGTATTTAAAATAGTATATATAATATTATCTCTACTCTATTATTCACTAACAGAAATAAGAAAACTCGAATACGTAAGTTATATAATCATTATATTTTCTATTCAAGTTTGAATTTCCAACTGTTCGGTATAATTGGATCGATTTGAGTTTTTGGGACAAGACGACTGTCACATAATGTCGAATGTCAACTAAATAAAAGAAAAACCGTCCCTATTATTGACTCCATTATAATTCATGAATGTGATTGTAAAATAGATGACGTGTCTATTTTGTTTTTAGTAAATATATATTTATTTAATATTATTCAAATCGATCATACGACGCAAAATTAAATACTGAACTAGGTGAAAATAATGTGTATTATGTAACCTTCTATAATAAATGACTGAGGCTGTATGTCGTTTCCTTGGCCTAAAACGTATTCGTATAAGTAGGTAGGTACTCAAAATTTACTGACATTGTCTGTCAGATGAGCTGTGACATTGAAGGACGTAATAATTATATTATGCGAACGCATTAGAAAATAAAAATATTCAACGACTGAAATAGTAGACATTATCGTTTACGGAAACTGTAAACTGCAGTATACAAGTGTATAAAATATCTTATAAATATATATATATACCTAATAGGAAGTATATAAAGTATTTGAAGCAAAAACTTGACACTGCAGTGGATTATAAAAATATTTGAATTTAAAACATTTTCAACACTTTAGTCACAATAAATCAGTAACACATATTATAATTGCGTTATGAATGCATTGTGCAATAAATTAACTGAACATAAAATCTGAATTTTTAACTCAACATATGTTATCACTTATGGATCTTCCGAGAATGTCATATAATGTATATTACAAGTTAAATTACTCGGAACGTATTATTAGCACTAGCTGCTATTTAAAACATATTCAATAAAATTATATATTATTTTAATGTTTTAAGTTTGGTACATAAAATGTAATTAATTATAATATTAAACTACATTTCCAAACTTCACTGCAACATGTTTGTAAGTGCCATTAGAAAGTGTATTTTTTTTAATGTCATAATTAATTCACCAACATATTAATATAAACTTGTGTACCAAAATTATATATAATTATAATTGTATTTTAGTTTCTGACCGGAGCGATGAATGAATTGATTTTACAATGAATTGTTTTTTGGTTTTGAGAGGTAAAAAGTAGAAATTTCCCAGTACTTTTTAAAATAATTGGGAGAAACTAAAAAAAAATCACAGTAAAACTTGGAGTTAATAATACTTACGCAACACCAATTTTTAACGAAATTGATTTTGTTATTTTCTTGTAATATTCAAAGCTAATGATGTTAGATACTTGAGATTTTCATAAAATATTATATGCTATTATTATTATTTTGCTATTATAATTTCATAATATGAAATATTTATCTAAGACATAATATATAGTACCTACAATAAGTAATTCAACGTTTATGCGTAGGTAAACAATATAAACGATCCGTTATACATACTATACGTCATGTAGATAATGTATAGTATACAAAACTAATTTCTGTTGTATAATTTTTACACAGTAGGTGTACAATAATTTGAAAATAGATTTGTTAGTTACAAAAGTGGTACGTATCTAAACATTCTTTAGTTAAACTTAAGTTTCTCCCGAAAAAGTAGGTACACAACGGTCTATATGGCCTATAATATGTAATGTAATGTATAATAACGTTATATTCATTTATATATGCCAAATTCGAAAACATTTGAAATTTTAAAATCTATAATATTAAAAATGAAGAAAAATGTCTCTACTGCGGGTTATACGATATGTTTTTTTGTAATAATATTATGATTTGTGTTTATGAAATATTTTAAATTTTCATGGGGAAATAATAACTTATCGGAAGGAATATTATTACAACGAAGGAAATGCATATTATCGATTATATGTATTGCTGCAGTAACGAATAAAAAAACGCTGTTTGTTTTCATACCCCGGAGCGAGTGTAGCGTATATATATTATTATACTTAATGACTATTTCGTTTCCACTGCAGTTGCGCTTTATAATTCTCAATAATAATATTGTTTCAACAT